GATCATCCTGGCACACCTCGGCATCAGGGGTTCCTCAGGGTTCTATCTTAGGGCCGTTGATGTTTTTGATTTTTACCAACGACCTGCCCTGTCAACTGAATTGCTCTGCGCTTCTTTACGCCGACGACGTAAAGATTTGGAGAGCAATAAACTCATCGGAAGACTCCGACAGATTGCAGGCTGACCTGCAAACTCTGGGAGACTGGGCTCTGGCTAATGGAATGCCTTTCAACCTAAAGAAGTGCAAAGTAGTGCAACTTCATTCCGGTAGGTCACAGAGTGTAAGTTACACCCTTGGTGGCCAGAACTTGAGTTGTGTGCCATCAGAACGCGACCTAGGTCTTATTTTAACAGAAAAGCTAGACACCAGTGTAAATTACACGAGGGACATCGCCAAAGCTTACGCAACTTTGCACTTTATGCATAGGCAGATGGGAGCTCTTACTCCCAAACTATTCTTAAGGTTGTATACGACATACGTGAGGCCACTCCTTGAGGTGCATAATGTCATTGCTCCTCCACTACTCAAAAGGGATGCTAACATCCTAGAAAGTGTCCAGAGACGAGCGACAAAATGGGTGATCGGCCTCCGCAACAAATCATATGAGGAAAGACTGAAGAAATTAAGTCTTTTCACACTTAGTTACCATAGTCACAGGGGAGACCTCATCACCGTCTATAAGATCTTAAATGACCAGGCCCACCCTAATAAGAGCATCCTGCCATTAAGTGATTATAGGCTTCCACGAGGTAACCCTCTGTAGCGGTAAATAATTCCCCAAAATTATTAACCACAGCAATCATCACTCAACATTGGATGCTGACCATCACTGTTTAAGTCGACTTGTTTAGCTGAAGGCTTCCGGTCAAGCATCCCCGCCATTTGGTGCTTCGTCGTGTCACGTGCGTGCACGATTACTAGCTAGCTAAGCATTCATTCCTACCCGCGATTTTGTCCCAAAATATATATCGTATTTGGACGACAAAATCTGGTCTTTTGCTTTACCATTTGGTACTCGAAGAACGAACACTATAGTGGTTGTTGGTATAAGATCTTGCGTTAGTATAATCCGTACAACTCGCGAACGTCGATACCGTCAATCTCTAAACTGGTGAGCCCAACCTCGAACTTCATCTTCAATTCACACGCAGATAAACCCGGTGAGTTCGTTCCTTTTTGTGTTTATTCTTGTACTATATTGTTATCGGCATACTTTTCGTCATGAGTGATCCTAGCCCCAAGGTTATTCAGATTCGCTCAGCCGCCAAAACAATCCAGCTAGTACCATATTGGCCAGATAATGCTGAAACGTGGTTTCAGATTGCTGAGTCTGATTTTCGTGAACATGGCATAACTGATCAACGTTCACAGTTCCTTGCAGTTATTCACGCTCTACCGCGGGAATTCAGCAGGTGCGTAACTCTGCAGATGTCGGTAAGTAACTCGTACGAGTTGCTAAAAGCATCCATACTCAAGAGAAACGTTCTCACAGATCGACAACGTCTGGATGAGTTATTTCGTAACATCGAGTTAGGAGATCAGTCAGCCGTGAGCATGCTGGCAAGAATGAAAGAGATCATTGGCCAAAGTCAGTTCGATGAAGGACTGTTCAGAGAACTATTTTTATCCAAACTGCCACAGTCAGTTCAGACTGTACTTGTGACACTTCAGGGTGTTCTCATAGATGATTTAGCTGTCTCTGCAGATAGAATTCTAGAGATAACGAAACGGCCAGTCACCGAAGTATACTCTGTTACCGAACAGACTTCGAAGAAGGATTCTGCAATGATAGAGTTAATCAACTCCGTCCAGCAGATGCTTAGGTCAAACAAGCCTAGCAATTCCTCCTATCGTCGTTCTAAATCCCCTCAACGGCTAAACGTACGTGGACGATCTAAGTCCAACACACGTTCTCTCAAAAATCCTGACTGGTGTTGGTATCACAACACCTATGGCCAGGAAGCGAAATGTTGTCGAAACCTCGAAGCCTCCAAGTCTGTGGGAAACTATCCCGCCGGCACGCGTTAGCGGCAACCGTCGCCGGTGGCACTAGCCGCTTACTTTACATCCATGATGTAATGAGCCAGACTAGATATCTAGTCGACACAGGCGCCGAAGTCAGCGTCCTTCCTGCTACAGCAGCAGATCGACAGAAGGATCCTAACTTCAACCTACAGGGTGCAAATGGAAAACCAATTGCAACCTATGGTCGGAAATACGTCTATCTGAACGTAGGTTTACGCAAACCTATTCAGTGGATTTTCCTAATCGCTGACGTCACAATGCCCATCATTGGCACGGACCTACTTAATCATCATGATTTACTCGTAGACGTCCGCCGTAAACGATTAATTGACAACACTACTAGTTTGTCTATCAAAGGCATAACTTACAGTGGCCCCAGTTTGTCAATCGTTAAGATGAAAGCAATCCTCGATCCAACTTTTCAACCGATTGTTGACATATACCCGGAACTCAATTGCCCATCTAACGATCTCCCGTGCATAACCAGCAATGTTATGCACCACATCATAACCTCAGGACAGCCCGTGACATCTAAAGCACGACGACTGGCCCCTGACAAACTGAGAATTGCCAGAAACGAATTCGATCATATGCTCACCCTTGGCATCATTCGGCCATCGAATAGTCCATGGGCATCCCCATTGCATATGGTTCCAAAAAAAGATAGTAACGATTGGCGACCCACTGGCGATTACCGGCGAGTCAACGCCAAAACAACTCCTGATTGCTACCCTTTGCCTCACATACACGACTTGACGGCAACGTTATCTGGAGCATCTATATTCTCCAAAATCGACTTGGTTAAAGCATATAACCAAATTCCCATGGCAACGGAAGATATTCCGAAAACGGCTATCATCACGCCTTTCGGACTTTTTGAATTCCTACGTATGCCATTCGGCCTCCGGAATGCGGCCCAAACATTCCAACGCTTCATCAACGAAGTATTTCGCGGTCTCGACTTTGTATACGCATACTTAGACGACTGCCTCATTGCCAGTCCAGATAAGGAAACTCACCTTAGACACTTGGACTTGGCATTTGAAAGGTTACGCCAACATGGTGTTACCATCAATATACAGAAGTGTCAAATAGGCGTTGACTCACTCGATTTTCTGGGTCACACTATTGACTGTCAGGACATTCGCCCACTGGCTACTTCTGTCGATCACTCTAAGAAAACGCGTTCTGGACGTCACGTTAGATTTCCAGAATACCTTCACACCTATTTCACATAACTGAGTGACACATCAATTTTTTTATGTTGCGTCATTTAACACAAGTAAATGATATTTTTCCTATAACCGTACATAAAGTTAAATTAGATGTATATTTTGTTTTTCCCGATATTTTGAACATTACATTATTTTACTGTAGAGTAGATGCATGTCATATATATTTTGGTAAAAAAAAACACGCTTATTTGGTACATTTTTCTTGACAAGGTTCTCAGCATTCTTGTTTTCTTTTCCAGGTGCAACGGGCACTGGACAGGAAACAAACGAAGCACGGGATCCAACGAACAATACCGAGGAAGCTATGTACAGACACCCTATTAGCATAGGCAGACAGACCAGCAGGCTCTCCATCAAGCCGCTCGGAAGATTTTTTTCACCCATCAGGGAACCATCCAGATTTTTTTTACTTCCGGCTGGTCATGTCTTAGGGTCCTCACAACCCCACTAGGGGGGGGAGTGAGCTGTAGCGGTAAATAATTCCCCAAAATTATTAACCACAGCAATCATCACTCAACATTGGATGCTGACCATCACTGTTTAAGTCGACTTGTTTAGCTGAAGGCTTCCGGTCAAGCATCCCCGCCATTTGGTGCTTCGTCGTGTCACGTGCGTGCACGATTACTAGCTAGCTAAGCATTCATTCCTACCCGCGATTTTGTCCCAAAATATATATCGTATTTGGACGACAAAATCTGGTCTTTTGCTTTACCATTTGGTACTCGAAGAACGAACACTATAGTGGTTGTTGGTATAAGATCTTGCGTTAGTATAATCCGTACAACTCGCGAACGTCGATACCGTCAACATCTAAACCTCTAAGGATAGCACACCAGAGACCAAGGACTCGAGTGCGTTCACATTTCTTCTCGCTTCGAGTTTGCCGTCTCTGGAATGCCTTATCGGCGGCCGTAACTACAGCTCCATCTGTGGAGACTTTTAAGCGGAAGCTGGACAATCATGCAGAAATGCATGGTTTGTGTCTCAATGGCTTACCCTCTTAAAATTTGAAACCACATTGTCAATGGATAAGCATACAAGCTAAATCCCCACGACCGTCCTGTCTCCTCCCATTGTACCGACTACTCTATCTTTTCTTTCTTTCTTTATTATTTCACTTATCTCAACCTATATTATCTACACTACAACCTATTATTATTATTACTATTCTACTTTTATGACTATACCGAATGACCAACGGGTGTTAGGTCAAACTCCATTCACGGCAGCAGCTGAGTCCTAACATACTGCACACTACAAACCACAATCTTGACCAATCCTCGCACCACTCCTCTTGGAGTCTACCAGAGCTAAAGCAGTCGAGTGGCGGGATTTACTACGCATAAGTTCACCGAAGATCTGGAACCTCCACCTTACAATCAAGAAGCGAGCTCAAAGAAATCACTGCTTTATACTGGCTCGTAATCAGGATATTGGATATATTGGATATTAGGAGACGCATGACCTACCTGATATAACACATGCTGATGAAAATGTGCTCGACGCATAGACTTCAGCCTGTTAAGTTTCATGCAGCAGTAACTGCTCGCACCTACTAATGAGTGTCATCGCACCTTAAGTCTATTACCTTAATAACATCACTATTATATGGTATAACTAAATAGATGATATATGTGTCCTGCAGCTACAGAAAAGCGATTATTTGATCGAGAACTTAAGCGAAACACTCATTTTGCTACACCAGCTTATTAATAGGCATATTAATTGGGTCCCAATATAATTCGAATTAAATTGGAATTTGATTCGTTACGGCGCACTGTAGGATGTCTGCGGTTTGGCGTGTTCTTGTAACCCATCCTAAGAAAATCGTTGTTGGAGCCGTGGGTTTAGTTTATGGCTATGATTTTGCTGCAGAAAAATATAGGTAACTGTTTTGTTCTGATTATAATATCAAATAGAAACTCTGTTTTACACAGGGAAATATGTTCTCAAGTGTCTGTAAGTTATGCATTTGTAAATGATAGTATTGTAGTCTGAGAATTATAAGACAACAAACTGTACACAGTCTCTCCGCCGCTTGACAGTTTTTGTGAACCCATTTTCCCGTCGCGGGTATGTTTTTATATATTATTTTTTAGAAAGCTTTTAAAAGAGTTTGAAAACAATGTTGCTCCTATTTTAAACCTCTCTGGCCTTGATGTACAGATGGTGTACATAGACACTGATTCTGAGATTAAAGATTTCGTCGGTGTTTTAGATCCTTCTAGTACTGATGGTATTTTAGTTGCTGGAGATGACAATTTGATACAAAAAGTATGCTAATTTACATTATATAAACATTAATCAGGTAGTTACAGGTTTGCTACGTCGAAGTGACTTCAAAGTAAGTTCAGTCATAATGTGTGTTGATATTTATAGACATCCTCCTTATGGATGCTACCTGTTGGAGCTGTACCGTTAGGGATTTGGAATAGATTTGTTAGCTCTCTATATGAAAAGACAGCTTTCCCAAAGTAAGTCTCTTTGTTTTCCTCACTTTAAATTCTCGATCCAATCTAATTTCAATGCGTAATAAAATTGCATAGTATTGAAATGCCTTTACTTACCAATGTTCCGCACGTTATTCAGGATATTTAGTTAATCATATCTTGATTACTGTAAGGAATTCTTTACTAACCTGTTGGCTTCCGCTTAATTGGATTGTAATAAATGGATATGTACAGAGTTCCACTAACTGAAGTGATTTTCGACTACTTATTCTAAGTTTAATTCCTACTGTATTGCTAATCTTAAGCACATTCGTGAATGCGATTGTCTTTAGCACCAATCCCATCCTAAGTTGTTGCATTAATAAAATGTCGTGGAGTTGTCCTTCAAAGAAATGACACATCTATTTGATTGAAGTCACGAGCTAACTCTGACCAAACTAGTGAAGTGATTGATTTTTCAACGTAATAGAAGGAAACAGTAGCCACAGAAGTCATTGTTCCTCTATAATTGTTATGATGAGCTTCATGAGGTAGTATAGATTTTTGGACTCGGTACTCGGTCAAATATGAACTTTCATAACGTGCATATTTTTCACTACGTTTGTGTGCTGTATGGAGTGTTGCAACTTGAAATGCTGTACTTTTGTACAAAGTCCTGCTTTGGAAACTCAGTCAGTCGTGTCTGGGCATTATGTATCAAAGGTATGCACAAACTTCCTACATTCACTTAGTGGTTTGAATTTGACATTTGAGGCAGTTCAGAAATAGGACGGCTTCTGAAGTCTAGTAGACTAAATACTGTTGACTTAATGACCGACTGGTTTCAACGTAAAACTTTGCACCGATGTGCAGCAGTTCGAGTCGCCACACTTCACTCACCACACCAAGCCAGAGAAGAAAGTAAAAGAAATGCAAAATAAAAAGAATACACAGAGATATCAGGCAAAAATAGTATATGAAAGAACAATAGTTTTGTTGGGTGTTCTAAGTCACAAGGAGTGGATGCATCTGCGCCAGCCATCGAGGACGATTTTGAGCCATATCACCGATTGTCTCCAGCTGTCATTGATCTTTGCCGTCCCTAGGACCCCAGCCAGTCAGGAAGCCTACATCTCCCTACGTGACTGGCTTAAACTAACTGTTGTGGATTTGATTGACTGACTCCATGTTTTGGTTTGACCACTAATAGCTCTTCTCCAACCTGATCAATCGTATGTCAGCTAACATTGCCCGTTGTCGAGGAAGGCGATGACTAGGCATGCGTAACATATGCCTTAACCATCTCAGTCGATGTAGCTTTACAGGCTCGTCGATTGATTTCCCCTCCTTACCTAGCACTCGACTGAAGCCTAACCTCAATATTGCTCACCCTATTATACCATTTCACACGGGAGATAGAACGCAGGCACCTATGATCAAAGACAGCTAGCGTTTTCATGTCTTCCACTTTCAATGCTCAGGTCTCACAGCCATAAAGGAGGATGGAGGAGACTCCCTTTGGTCAATAGCCGGATATCACGTCTACGCCAAAGACGGCGTAAACTGGCATATGCCAAACATTTTTAAAGTAACTATTTCAAAACAAAAGCTGGTCAGATGTCTTCGAAAATATTAGTGTAACTCAAATGAAACTAGAGAATTCCACTTGTGTTTTATAGATGTTAAGTTCTACAGTTTCTTGTATAGCGACGATAAAGCTCAGGTTATGAACTTTGTTCATTTAGCAGTTGCTAGTGATACGATATAACTGAGTGAATACAATCAAATGTAAGGGATTACACACCTTTGGCTCTCCATATCTTGTGATTCAGTCTTGCGTACAAAAACACATGAATGGTCTGTAGACGATAATTTGTGCTTTTCATTAGAATGTTTCTTGTGTTTCGCTGCAAAAATTTGCCAGCTGATGGTCTTGTACAACATTAAATTTGGGTATTAATATATTTAGTGTTTCCGCCGCAATAAATTTATGATAATTTAAAAATTCTCTACTAACATTATTGCGTTAGCTTGTGAGATGTTAGTTTGCTGGGAATGATGAGTTTTTAGGGAATAGCCAATCAGTTCTGAAACATTAAGCAAAAGCAATTTCCTTCAAATTATCACTAATACTTGGCTGAGCAATTATTAACTGTACTCAAAGTTCAATTAGCCTTTTCTTAGGAATACCATATGCAGCTGCAATGAAATATGCAGTTGTTTATTATAAAATGAATCATACTGTACGACTAATAGTCGTGGTCGTAAGTGTAAAGAAAAAAAGGAAGCCTAAATATACCATAATTTTAATGTCTTTGGGGGATTACCTCAATGACCTATTTGGTGATTTAAGGGTGTTGATAATTTGGTGCGGAGTTTTGTGAGAAAATGTTATGCCATGGCTTGAAGTTGCATATTTGCATCTTGCCGTCTGCCTTACACCTTATTAGGTAGTGTCCAATAAAGAATTATTCTGGTAGAAACGAATTCGAATCCAGTTTTAATTATTAAGTGTGACTAGTTCAGAATCCAGATCAATTAGTCTTCAAATGAAATTCAACAATTTTTGTTCATAACGGAGTAACACAAATTATGAAAATAGTAATCATCCGGTAAATTAATCAGAAATAATAATGGGGAGGATTTGTACCACAGATAAATGTTTTCAATGTTCTATTCTGTGGGCTGTTTGGTTTGACAGCATATCAACGAAACGATCGATAACAAAAGAGATGAAGATAAGGATAAGAAAACCTATAGAAACAATCACTAGACAAACTTATCAGGAGAGAAAGTTATGTGATATATATATATATTTCGAAAAAGAACTTCGCATTGGAGTAAGTGCTGAAAATGTTGTCTGTAAATACATCGAGAGGTTCGCAGTTCAGAAAACACAACCAAGTCAGAAAAACTGATTTTCCTTTTACTCAAAGTATGCCTTTTGAGTTTGATTGAATTTCAAAGTGTATACTGTCGATAGTAAATATTATTTTGTCACAACCGTATAATTTTACTCACCTGTAATGGTAGAGTTAATTCACTGTTAGTCTACAAATTATAGCGTGAATTCTCTCTTATTTGCTAACTAAATGAACAATCTCTTCGATTGGTCACAAACTGACTGTAGTTACAGAACCAGTGAAAACTAGAAAGTACTGGTGAAATCAATCAAATCCCTGCTAATAAACGCTTAAAATTCAATCTAGTTCTCACTAATGACTGACTACAAGATAAAGTTGCCTAGAGTTCTAGTAGGAAGTCGCAATCAGCGAGGTTCGTCAAGTTGGATGTAGGGATAGATACCCACGGATGACCGTGGCTGTTGGTCGCGAGAATTGTTAGAAGTGAGAATTCATGAACCATTGGGTTCCGTTCCAGTGGCTAAATGGTCTACAAGGTTGCCTTTTAACCCAGAGCTCCTGCGTTAGATCCCTGAGGGGTTCATGGGCGCGAACTTCTGAAGAGTTTCGAACAAGGATGAAGTAGCTGTCCAGTACTCCCTGGCTTTTAATCATTCTCTAATTGAAGTCACTTCGTGATCAATCATGACTTTGTTTGGTGTTATTCAAGTGTGAATTTTTTCATAAATCAGTTCACCCAACACTGTTGACAAATAAATAGATGTGATTATTATGTGCTTGCATATTTCAGATGGTGTTACAACTCTTTACACCCTGTCTTAGAGCAAAAGACAAAGAGACGAAATCTTCTCGAGGTGAAGGTCATTTCTGATGTAAGTGTAATTTCTGTTTTTGCAGTTAATAATTACTTTAAAAATGTAAATGTTATGCAATAATATTTACTGATAACGTTCTGATAATCTCACTACTCCTGATCTACTAGTTTGACCTATGTAGTTCACTTAGCTCACAGTCATTTCAAGGTATTTTGTAAATTATATTATTTTGTTTAATTGGGTCCACCGGGTCTTTTACTCTACAGAGTTTGTCTTACATGATTGAGTTTGTAGGTTTGAATGCCACACTAATTCCTGCTTTATTAAAAATCCTACCTAGGGTCTCAGATGCTCCCTCCCTTCTTATATGGTAAAGCTACTGTAGATGCCTTACATTCTTTCTTATTTATGTTATCATTATTAGTTTCACAATTATTTTTATTTTGCTTTCAAGCTTTTCTGATCTTCCTAATGAATTTCGTAGGATAGTTATTTGACACCAACACTTCTTCTGTCGGTTTCATTTCATCGTTTGGGTTTTTTGTTGTACAACTTAGTGCTATTGCTGTGTTTGTTAGATACTTAACTAAACCTGCCTTCACAGATAGATAACGGGTGAGATGAACTAAAGTCTAAATATCTATTAGAATGCGTTGGTTTTTTATAAACACTAGTGTGCAGTTTACCGTCTTCCGTTCGTTTTATTTTACAATCTAACATAACTAACTTTCCTTGTTCATTTTCCGATTCAAAAGTGAATTTCATTCCCTTTACTAGTGAGTTTAGATGTGTCAAGAAGCTAGAGATCCGTTCTGTTTTAACAATGTGAAAGTGTCATCCACGTATCTCCACCATATATTTGGAGTAGGACTAAATCCACTAAGAGCCATATTTTCCCAACTATCCGTAAAGATATCTGCTACAACTGGGGATATTGGTGATCCCATTACCTCACTTTCTGTTTGTTTATATATTTTGTCATGGAATTTAAAGGTAGTAGATGTGAGGCATAAATGAATCCTCAGAATAATTTTCTCAGTGGGCAGCTTTGATCTATGACTAAGTCCGGCATCAGCATTTAGTCCTCTTTTAACTGCTTCTGAGGCCATATTGATTAGTATATTAGCGTGAAGACTAGTTATATCAAAACTAACCATTTTTTCATCATTCTCTAATTGAATATCATGTAGTTTCTTTTTCATCTCATATGAATTAGTTAGTCTAGAGTTTGGACAATTTCTAATGGGACTTAATAGTAGAGCTGAGTGTATTTTGATAATATTACCATATAGCACTGTGAGACTTTATCAAAATAAATTTTATCCACAATGGAATTATACTCTACCAAAGTGCACAAGTTCTATTCTTACATAATATGCCAAGTTTGTGTTTTTCAATAAGACAGAAACTTCAAAGCTTTAAGTGCGTCGTTGGCACAGTGGTAGAATGCTCGCCAACCACACACACCTCATGTGGTTCAGGCGTGGTTCGATCCCCAGCCACCGACTCACTCATTTACCTCGATAAGCCAATAAAAACAAAAGACTGGTGAGGAGGGAAGGTTGGGCATGAAGCCTAGCACCCCAACCCGTCTGTCTGTCTGTTTTTGACATAGAACTTTGCACCGATGTGCAGCAGTTCAAGTCGCCACACTCCATGTAACACATAAAGCAAGAGAAGAAGATAGAAGAAATGCAAAATAGAGACAGTAAACCGAGGTGTGAGATAAAGGAATAGTAATAACGAAGAACGATATAATTTCATTTGAAATCATAAGTCACAAGGAGTGAATGCATCTGCGCCATTGAGAACGAGGATTTTGAGCCATATCACCAATTGTCTCCAGCCATTTGGTTTTTACCGTCCCTACGACCCCAACCAGAAAGTCTACACGTTCCTATGTGGCTTAAACTGACTGTTGTGGATTTCACTGAGTGGTGAAGTCATGTTTTGGTTTGACCACTAATAGCTCTTCTCCAACCTGATCAATCGTATGTCAGCTAACATTGCCCGTTGTCGAGCAAGGCGATGACTAGGCATACGTAATATATGCCTTAACCAACTCAGTCGATGTAACTTCACAGGCTCGTCGATTGATTGATTTCTCCAAACATAGCACTCGGCGCAACCCCACCCCGTAAAAATGGATACCACTGCTACCGAAACTTCAAAGCTCTAGCTTGAAGCGGCCTATGTTCCACTGGAAATGCAAAAAAAAATGAAGATCACCAGTGGCAACAGGAATCAGTTTATGCTTGATGATTTATGTCAGTTTTAAGTATTATCAATCTTGTTTTGTAGAGTAGAGTAATCTGTTGTTTTTTTTTCTTTTGGTTTTTCTCTACACATTTTATCCACTGTTGTAAATTTCCCATTTATTTTCCCAATATAGGAAAATCAACAAACTGCTGACCAATCAATAGAGTCTTCTGTCACTACATATTCTTTATTAGGCATTGAATGGAATATATGGCGAGATATAGAATTAGGTGGAGGTTGTGGTGCTAGCGGTAAATATGCAAAACCAAAAAGCACCAATGATCATAGAGGTGTCCTCACCACACTGTCTATAACATCACCACGTTCTTGGACGCGTAATTTCGGTGCTCTATGGAGATCTTCATGGTATTGGCTGCAGTCATCATCATCGCCATCATCTGAGAATAGTTCTATACCTCCTCCTGAATTTTTTTCAAATTCTCAAAATTCACTGTCGGATAAAAAGTCTAGAAATCGTGTAAAATTGGCTCGTATCATTTATCATCCAGTGTGTACAGGTTGTTCAAAGTGTTGGCAGAAAAAGTTAATGGTGAGTAATAATAATAATAATAATGGCTTTATTCCAAATAATACTTTTGATATAATGTGCAATTCTCAACACAACACAATATTGCACACCTAGTGTTATCCAAATTAAACTTTAAGCGCTATTAACAGCAACTACCAACAAAGTGCGTCCACACCAGTAACCTTGAATGCCTGCCCGACCGAAAGCTGCTACCTTGACGTGGTGGTCGGGCTTGAACACTGCAATGACCCAACAAGCTATACTGGCTGGAACTTATGTTCCTGCAGGTCCTACCATGCCAGAAAGGTTGTTTGGATAGCAGTTAGACTAAAAGCAGTTACCCAATCCAATCCTATGATTTCAAATAAATCACAAAATTTCATGCCGGATCGGCCGGGGCCCGGATTAACAACGACCGCGCTTTCTGCTGCCGTGTCACAGGGCAGAAGTGATAAATACGCTACTGAGACACACCAAATAAAAAAGAACAAACAAAAACAGGCCGTGTGTGACCGGCCTCAAGCAGTTGTCCCCTGGGCTCTGCGGTCACGCAACCAACTTCCACGGTGTGGGCAGCCGGGAAGTACCAATCGCCCTCACAACCCGAAGTGCACGCGAAACCCCTCTAATCCTCGCTCATCTTTGTCTTCATCTTCATCTCTATTATCCTGCCTTCCTTCTACCAATGCAACTCCTCTACTTGTTGGCTCTTCACTCCCCCTTCACTCTGTGTGCACTGATAACGATGGAAGCCAAAAAGCCAAAAAGCCTTGAATGCCTGAATGAGTTTTATTCACGTGCATTGAAGCTTCTATTTCGCCTGATTTGAGTCAAATCTCTTCTCTAATGGAGTTACGTTTGATGTGGGATGCACACCAATTCTATCGAAGACTTTTGAGGAAGATTAAAAACACCGGATTATAGCCATTCATCGATCACAATAGGATGTTATTTATCGTCATTTAGATGAATGTATGCGTAGGATATGGTGTAACGTTTCTACTGCTACTCCCTATGTTAAACTGGTAGTTGTTTTTATCATATATGTGAGAGAAAGGTATCCTCTGTAGAGTACCTTTCTATAGTTTTTATGCATTTGTTTTCTCCATAAATACATGTGTTTGATATCCAAAATAGTGATAATGTTAATAAAAATATTAATATAAGAATAAAATTAAATAGAAGTAGTGACAACAATATTTTGAGCGACAGAAACATAAAAAGGGCTGTTTACTGGGTGTTAGTAGTTAGTTTCGTACGTAACACTTTCCTTATCATATAAAATGTGTACCAAATAAGGTATTGTAGAGTTTTTATACTTAGTCGTCCAAACTCAAAGTCTTTTTACTGACTACTTCTACTCCTACCCTGATGAGTAGTATGTGTTACCCACAGTCCCACAAGATGACTTTTGCCAATTTCTTGCACGAGTTTAAGTGTCTGCTCATAACAATATTAACCAGTTCGCCATAGCGATAGCTTTTTTAGTGTCCTTCACAATGTAACGAAGTCTTTTTTTGAGGTAACCCTAGGAAGAATAGGCAAAACTCAAAGGTTAACAAACTGTAAAAGTTGGTTTCAAGGTTGACGATGAACTAACTGACTTCAGTTAGAGAACCATTGAAAACCACGGAGTACTGGACACCTTTTTCGTGCTTGTTTGGTGGAACTCTCTTCAACATTACGAGCCCGCAACCTCACCAGAGATCGAACCCAGTACCTCCAGGTTAAAAGGTGACCTCATACAGCATTCAATCACTGGGATAGAATCCGATGACTAAATCCTAACTTCGACCAATTTGCGATGTACCGCGACTGCCAGCCACTGACGAAGAGTCCCAAATCAGGACGAAACAGCCGCCCAGCACTTTCTGGTTTTCAATGGTTCCCCTGCAAACCAATATTTGTAAAAGTAGACGCTGAGTAATGCTAGATTCTCTCAGTTCCTTTATTTACAGCATAAGACACAATATGTTTCTAGAAATCAAAAGGATGTAGGATGACCAAGAAAGAACAGAGGAAGGATACTTAACACCTGATTTTGTTTCTACTTCAATTCCCTATATGTTGCACGAAATTGACTAGTTCATGTAAATCTCCTTTGTGTCTGGCGACTGAAATTAACAATCTGACATTTAGAAGGATTTAGCTTTAGACCATGTGTTTATTTAAGCTGAAATGTGATTAACAGTATTTATACACACAGCTATCACATTTATTGGATATATCATTTATGAGACTGTGAGGGATAACCTTTGACTGGATAGACTATTTGTGAATTGAGTATTGATTTAAAGATGTAATGAATCTCCTGCCTAGTAGTTCTGAATTGTTTGAATCGTGACGCAACCCAGAGGATAAATCCGCGCAAATCAACATTACACTAGTTACTGACTAGTGTTCAATCAAAAATATCCAATACGGTCCTACAGGAGGTCGGTCGCGAGCCTGAATAGCTCAGTGGTAACGTCTCTGACTGCAGCACTGGGTGACGCGGGTTCGAATCTCAGAAGGGACATCAGTTCCTTCAAGGTTGCAGATACGCCTTGATGACTGATTGGTGAGTGCCAACTAGCACGAAACCTAGGTCAAGCAGGGCTTCCTGTCGATTGCCTCCAACCATCTAATACCAATAATTAATATAATATACAGAACAATTCATAAGATGTATAGAACTTGGAAGGGGTGTGAAATTATAGAATTAGTAGGCAAATGAAATAAAAATAAAAACTTTACATAACATTGTGTGAAATTTGATAACATAGAATTGATCTTCTATAGTTGGTTTGTAAGGATTAGTTTTGTTTATACGAGTTGATCACGGATTGATATCAGTTAGAGAACCATTGAGAACCAAAAAGGAGTACTGCCAGACAGCTGTTTCATCCTAGTTTGGGAATCATCGGCAGTACGCACCCACTGAGGTTCGGACCCAGGACCTCCCGGTTACCAGGCAAGCTCGTATACCATTCAGCCACTGGGACCCGATTCAATGATCAGTCCATGAATTCTAACTTCTACCAATTCGTGATTTAGCGCGATCACCAACCAATGTCGTCGGTGGAACATCCATCCTCACACTTAACTGGATGGACCTCACTGGTCACGACTTCTCACTAGAACTCCAGGAAACTCACTCCTGTAGCAAGTCACTAGTGAGCATCAGAATGATTTTCTATAGTTGGTTTGTAAGGATTAGTTGCAAAACAAAATTGATTTAGAATGACAAGTGGAACAAGTGAAATAATACCAGGGACAGTTGTTCAAAGTGAGAATAGTAATAGTAACAACTGACGTAGTAAAGGAAGAGTATACAAATTGAATAAACGACGAAAAATTAGTAGAGCCAAAATATGATTAAGGATTACCATACTTTAGCATGTATAGACGGACTAAGACCATGAAAGTTGGAGGGGTTAAACGAACATTTTCTGTATGCAGAGATCTGACTTTTCTGTTTCAATGGTCGAAGCTTCAGCAATACAGATGGGTCAGATATATAGTGATTTGGGCTAATTACTTTTCATCACGGGCTGACATCAGTTAGAGAACTATTGGAAAATCTGGGAGTACTGGACACCTGTTACGGCCTAGTTTGGGACTCTTCATCAGGTTGAATATGAGGCAGTAACTCATCGAAGAAGACATTGTGAAATGGTCGCGCTATGTCGTGAATTGGCAGAAGTTAGAATTCATGGGCCATTGGAACGGGTCCCAGTGGCTCAATGGTCTACGAGCTCGCATTGTAACCAGAAGGTCGCGGGTTCGAACGTCCTGGCGATGGGTGCGTACTGCTGAAGGGTCCCAAACTAGGACGAAATAGATGTTCAGTACTCCCAGGTTTTCCAATGGTTCTCTAACTGGTGTCAGCTCATGATGAAAACCTCCATCCAATCAAACTAAATCTCTACAAAATCAATACTTGAAAATTACTTTTCGCCTTGTGGATAACTTTAAAGGCGGAGGCTGTAGAGGTGTAGGGTGATCATTATCGACTAGATGTTCAATCATTGCGCTTCTTATTGCTCCACTTCCACCTCTTCGTAACTAGCATGCAGGATAGTGTTCTTTCACCCTCTTGGACAAAACTCGAGTTTAACGACAAATATACCCAGCTCCACACTAGCAGGTGAATTGATAAACGCACATTGTATTGTGTTGGTTCTTGAACAATTTAATGCCAGTGTATTTTTTTTATTCCTTCACGTTCCCAGTGGAACATAGGGCTTCAAGGTACAGGCTTGAAGTTTCTGTAGCAGTGTTTATTTTTACAGAATGGGGTTGCTAGCCTCATGCCCAACCCTCCTTCTTTGCCAGTTTTATTACTGGCTTAGCGAGCGAGGTAAAGGAGTGCGTCGGCCGGGGATCGAACCCCGGACCTTGTGCATGGTCGGCGAGTGTTCTAACCGCTGTGCCACCGACGCACTGCCAGTGTATACAAAATATCCAAATACTTTAGTTGTTCATTATAAAGGTGACTTAAGGATATTCTTATCACGTAATTAAATAGCAGTATAATGGAAAGGAATAGAAGTTGTCATTCATCTCGTCCCAGTATGTATAGAAATAATCAAAAAGAAAAAAATACTGCGTCGGTGGCACAGTGGTTAGGACTCTCGCCGACCATGCACATGGTCCGGGGTTCGATCCCCTGCCGGCGCACACCCGATATCTATGGTCGGCCTGAATTTGGGCTACCGATATCCATGCTGAAAATTCCACACTTGTACTGAAAATACGGTGTGGAATCAAGCTGTAAATCAAAAAAAAAAAGAATTACCAATGAATGTTACGACGAATTGAATAGTGGTGTTAAAATATAACAATACACACATTAATTGGTGATTTTAGCGCGACCACTCGCTAATGACTGCATTTTTGCAGTTTCTTCTGTTTAAAATTTCTACTTCCTCCCAATTAAATTGGTGTCCGAACACTAAAAATGCAGTCAGGAAATTTCTAGAAACCTGGTACTCAAATAAAATCAGCCAGCGACTATCAAACACATATAAATTATCAATTCAAATTAACAACCCCTAACCGACCGACCGATTTCAACATAGAACTTTGCACCGATGTGCAGCAGTTCGAGTCGCCACACTTCACTCAGCACACAAAGCCAGAGAAGAAAGTAAAAAGAAATGCAAAATAGAGACAGTGAACAGAGATATTAGGCAAAAAGAATAGTAATAACGAAGAACAATATAGTTTTGTTGGGTATTATAAGTCACAAAGAGTGGATGCATCTGCGCCAGCCATTGAGAACGAGGATTTTGAGCCATATCACCAATTGTCTCCAGCTGTCATTGATTTTTACCATCCCGAGGACCCAACCAGTCAGGAAATCTACATCTTCCTACGTGACTGGCTGGCTTAAACTAACTGTTGTGGATTTGATTGACTGACTCCATGTTTTGGTTTGACCACTGATAGCTCTTCTCCAACCTGATCAATCGTATGTCAGCTAACATTCCCTGTTGTCGAGGAAGGCGATGGCTAAGCATGCGTAACATATGCCTTAACCATCTCAGTCGATGTAGCTTCACAGTCTCGTTTATTGATTTCCCCTCTTTACCTAGCACTCGACTGAAGCCTAACCTCAATATTGCTCACTCTATTATACAACTGATCACAACAATGATTGTCAGAAAATACAATTATACCATTCATGAAGAATTCAAACAAGTTTACCTCATATTGAAGCCTGAGCTGAAAATGTTGTCTAGAGGGACAACGAAATCTTCGCAATCAAGTCAACTAGCTCGGAGAAGCTTGAAAATCCCCATTGATTCATATGAAGAAGAGAAGACGTTCAGCGAAGAGACTGTTTTCAGTGAATTCATTCACATAGCACTGTACAATTCCATTTATATATAATTATTTGTGTGTGTGTATATGAGGTTTGTCAAGTTTAGATAATTGATCAGGTAATACAAGAATGATCTAATACAGAAAGAAGGTTAATCAGATAGCAACTAAAGTAAGATCTAGTTAGTAAGTTAGATGACGTAATATAATTGACTAAAATGTTTCAACTTAGGTCAGGGTAGCAACAGAGGTAGTTACATGTAAAGAATAATGCCATTTAAATTAGCACTGAAATTGAGCAAATAAGTTGGATGACGTAACATAAATGACTAGAAATTGAGTGTTGGTCAAGTCAGTAACATTGGTAGTGAGGTGTAGGAATTAAATCGGGTGGGGGTAGAGAACAGGAAAGTTGAAAATGTAGAATATTACACTTGAAAAGACAAAATAATACTAATGAAGAGACATAAAAAAGTTTAGGTAGAATTTACTTGTCGGGTTATAAGATAGATTACGTCCATTGGAAGTGTAGTGATTGAACGAACTTCTTCTGTATGCAGAGTTCAGGACCTAGCAAGTGAATCGCCATTGCTTCTACAGTTTGAAGAAGTCTGATTCGTACACCTTTAGGAAGAATACTTCTTACTCTGTAGACGACTTTGAAGTTTGTTTAGGGTGTAGCCTGGTGTCCGGATTCTATCAGATGTTCTAAGATGTTATCCTTTGTAAAATCATGTTGGTAAGTGTTCGGTGATACGTTTGGAAAGCGAACACTGGGTACGGCCGACATACCTGGCTCCACACGAGCAGGTGAATTGATAAATACACATTGATGAGGCCAGCAGTGGTAGCTTATCCTTCACGTTCACATGAATCATAGGTTTTGTGGAGAAGGTTAGTCGTAGTTCAGCTGCGAAGAAGGTCTTCTTAAGTGAACGCGATAGTCGATTTTTTAGTGTTTCCGCAGATATATCTCCATTGAATTGAAGGTTTATGTAGAGTAGTTTTTTCGGGACGCTAAGCATGGGCGGCTTTTGTGGTCTAGGATTCATAGATTTTGCAATAAATCTTTCTGGATAACAATTCTCGACGAGGATTCTCTTGAGATTGTCCAGTTCATCTTCTATGGTGTCCGGGATGCAAATTCTGCGAACTGTGTTTAGGAGTACCCAACTGTGAAAGTTAGTAAGCTGTCCGTTCCACATCGACTTTCTGTGGATAGATCTTTTCAGTGTTCCATCCTGTTGTCGTCTTGTTAGTTGGACGTCAAGAAACAATATTTTGGAGTTGAACCCTTTCTCCAGCGTGAACTGAATCGCGGGGTGGCAGTTGTTAAATGACTTCAAGATGTCGTCTAGATTTACTTCATTGTTGACGATAATGAAAGTGTCGTTGACGTATCTCTTATAGATATCGAAGGTATCGATCATTTTCTTCAGGCATGTGTTTTCGAGTTTTGCCATGGAGAAATCTGCAAGCAATGGGTCTAGTGTTGAGCCCATAGCTATACCATCCTTTTGGCGATATATTTCGTTGTTGAAAGAGAATTGGACATACAGGATACACTTCAGTAGGAGTTCTTTAAGACGCTCGGTGGGTATACCGATGTTTATTCCTTCGGAGTGAATCACTTGACAAACCTCATGTACACACACAAATAGTTATATATAAATGTGATTGTACAGCTATGTGAATGAATTCGCCGAAAGGAGTCTCTTCGCTGAATATCTTCTCTTTTTCATATAGCTCAGAGAAAACAAATCGAAATCATTCACATAAACTACGAATCTCTATTGGGATTAGATGTACGAAGAGTAATGTTTTTCCCAACTTATCGATAAAGATATCTGCTACGTTTGGGGATATTGATGATCTCATCGTTAAATTTTTTATCTGTCTATATTATTGTGTCCTGGAGTTTAAAGGCTGTATATACGAGAGTCTGTCGAATTCCTCTATAAATAATAATAATAATTTGCCTCATACCTGAATTATACTGCGCTACAGTGCCCAAGTTCTACTAGTGATATCAATGAGTCTTTTCATTTGTGTTTTTCCCCAGCTAATTTATCTCTCTCTGTGTTTTTGTTTTGTTTAAATCATTAGAGTTATAAAACACCTAATCTAGAAGAGACAAAGAAGCCAAACTCACTTCTAAGCAAAATGTTTGGATTCTCTATGAAAAGTGGTCATCATACAACTAATGAAGAACTTAAAAGAAAGCAGATAGAAGTTCAAAAACAAATGGAAGATAAAAGTCGTATTGATAATCCAGATTGTGAAGAAGAACGCCTACTTGAAGTGAAAGATGCTTCAGGTCTCACAATAACACCAGATGGAGTAAGTTTTTTTTCTTCTGTAGATGAGGAGTATTATTATATTATTACTATTGTTCCCTTGGGTTCCTAGTGGAACATAGGGCTTCAACTACACGTCTCCACTTGCTTCTGTCTTGTGCTGTACTTTTCACTTGCGTCCATGTTATTCCATACTGTTTCATCTCCTCCTCACACGATCTCCTCCATGTCACCCTTGGACGTCCCACTCGCCGCTTCCCTTTCGGGTTCCACTCGAGTACTGGTCTGACGCGTGATGTCACCCAGCGGCCTCCTCAGCCAGTGTCCGATCCATCTCCACTTTCTCCTGCATATTTGTTGGGCGATTGGTTCTTGTTTTGTTTGTTCCCATAGTTTCTTGTTTGTGATTCTTTCCGGCCATCTGATCTTCAGTATAGAGCGACGAAGGCAGTTGTTGATAAAGGTCTGCAACAGGCTGTTGGAAATATTCTTTGTGACCAGCCGCCAAGTTTCTGATCCGTAAAGCAAAACTGACTTGACGTTTGTATTGAAAATCCGAATTTTGTTGTTGATGCAGGCTGAGTGACGAAGATTTCCAGATTGGTTTCAGGTTGATGAATGTGTTTCTCGCCTTCCCGATTCTCGATTTGACATCCTCGTTCGTTCCTCCTGTAGTTGAGACAATGCTCCCTACCTAGATAAGTGAATGAAGTAACCTCTTTCAAATGCCTTCCGTTGATGGTGATTGGCACTGGATGTTGCCGTTGCTGTTGTTGTTGTTGTTTGGTTATTTTCATAACCTCCGTCATGTCCATGTTCACCTGGAGTAGTTTGTTAATATTGTTTGTCGTCCAATGGAGAATGTTATCATACTTTGTATTATTAATTGTAAAGTGTCTGTGTTAAAAATCAATCTATCTATCTAAATGTTTGAAATATTGTCATTATTATTGTTATTATTACCTTGGCTTTCGAGTGGAACATATAGAGGGCTTCAGTAGGACATCTACATTTCACTCTGTTTTCTGCAGTCACTCTTAGGCTGGCTGACTCTACGACCGCCCGGAAGCTTTGAGTTCCTCGTCACACAATCTCCTCCATGTCATCCTCGAACGTCGAACTCTTCATTTCCCATTCAGGTTTCATTCGATGGTCTGCTTGCTGCGTAATGTCATCCAATGGTGTCTTCTCAGCGTATGTCTAATCCACCTTCATTTCTTTCTGTCATCGGATCTTCAGCTATATAACAATGACACGTGTCAGATGATCCACAACAGAAAACTCAGTGAGGCGTTTGAAGTGAATACAGGAGTAAAACAAGGCTGGCTGGCTGGATTCAACATAGAACTTGGCACCGAAGTCCAGCAGTTCGAGTTGCCACGTTCCAAATAGCACACAAAGGTAGACAGGAAAATGAGAGAAGAGAATCAATAGAGTTTTGACAAGTATAAGAGTGAAACAGAATGAGTAATGGTAGAAAGGAATATGAAAGATTCCAGAAACTGAATACATCTGCGTAAGCCATTGACAACGATTTTGAGCCATGTCACCTAGTGTCTCCAGCCATTGATTCTTAGAGTCCTGAGGGTGGGCCCCAACCCGGAAGTCTGCATCTCCCTACCTGATTCAGCTTAACTGCCAAGGATTTCATGTAAAACAAGGCTGCCTGCCTTAGCTAAGCTTTCCAATGTGGACCACATGGTACTGTCAAATAGCTGTCGAATGAGGCTGATAAAGGTTTGGGGCACTATGTGGTGTCGGAGCAGTCTCAAGATTATGTTGCGGTCAAGGCTATCTAAAGCTTTTTCAAGGTCGATGAAATTGATGTAGATATTTGACTGCCATTCTATTCTCTGTTCGACGGGGATGCGTAGAGTTGCAATTTGAGCCGCGCACGATTTGCTTCTCCTGAATCCTGTTTGTTCTTGGTGGTGTTTCGCCTCCAGAACATCTTTTACTACCTTCATCATGATGCAGTTTAATACATTTTACCTGGTTATTAATAACTGGTAAGTAAGGCGTACCTTCAACCTTGGAGTAGCTAATGTCCGCTTAGAGATTCGAACATGCATCACCCAGTGGTATAGTCACAGCGACTGATAGGATCCAGTCAACACTAATCCCAAGGACTGGACATATAATGTTGGTTACTTACACCCTAGTGACTAGCCAGTATTATACTCTACAGTCAATCGTGAGACCGTATAGCTTGGTAGTAACGTCTATGACTGCACTACTAAGTGACTTGCGTTCGAATCTCCAATGATACGTTAGTTCATACGGTGTTGCAGGTACGCCTTGTAGACTAATGCTAACAAGCTGGCTAAATCTTCCAGTTCAAGGCTTCCTTCCGGCTTCCTTCAAGCATTTAACATCAATTTAAAAGTACATCGCAGATGAATTCACATTACAAGCCAGTGGAATCCAGGAGGTGCATTTCATCCTGTTTGGGACTTGTCAACTGGACGTATCTGCATTCTCTTAGTAATTGTGACTCGAACCCAACATCCATCGTTTGAAAAGCCAAAACTATATCCATTAGGCCAATGGACGACAAGAGCCGCCTCCTGCGCAACAGGTATCCGTCTGTTTGTTTTAAGTTATTCTGATTCACTAGTTGGTTCATTATATTGCACCGAAATGCTCAATCTTTGTTGACATGTCGGTATCCTGGATTTCACTTCCAGTTACCATCAATCGAATAGCATTATGTCAACCTTCAGACATCGCTACAGCGTCCTTGCGATGAGCCGGCATGTCTCATTTATTCGGTACTAGTTTTAAGTCTGGTTTTATTAATATTTATAATAGTAATAATAATCCCTTGGGTTCCCAGTGGAACAAAGAGGCCTCAACAGCACATCTCCCTTTCATCCTGTGCTTTGCAGGCCTCTATCTGCCCCTACGATTGCCCATAGGCTTTCATGTCCACTTCAACCTTGGATGCCCAACTCGTTTTCCAGTTGACTTACATTGGAGTGATGGTCCGGGGCGCGATATCACTCAACGGTCTTTACAGCCTGTGTCTGATCCATCTCCATTTCTTTCTGCATATTTTTTTGGATAATAAATAGTTTCTTGTTTGGTTTCCTTCTGGTCGTCTACTCTTCAGTGTCTAGCTTGTTGTTGATGAAAGTGTACAGCCTGTTGGAAATGCTTATTGTGACATGCGTGCCAAGTTTCTGAACCATGCAGCAGAAATGATTGGACTTTGGCGTCGAAAATTCGAATCTTGTTCTTTATGCAGAGGGCAGCAGGCTCCCACACTGACTCCAGACTACTTGAAGGTTTAATTGTATGGAGGATTTCATCATGAGCTGACATCAGTTAGAGAACCACTGGAAAACCTGGGAGTACTGGACAGCTGTTTCGTCCTAGTTTGGGACTCTTCAGCAGTACGCGCCCACCCGGGATTCGAACCCAGGACCTTCTGGTTACAAGGCGAGCTCGTAGACCATTCAGCCACTGGGACCCGATCCAATGGTCCTTGAATTCTAACTTCTGCCAATTCACGACATAGCGCGACCATTTCGCAATGTCTTCTTAGATGAGTTACTGTTACTTGAAGGTTTACCGTTGAATGTGGTTTTGTTCGCTGGTCTGGTTGATGATTTAATCACCAAGCCTTTATTTTCCTTCTTGGCAACATCTCCAGTGCTTACCTAAGAGTGAATGGAGTTCTTTGGAATTCTTCGTGATTGACTATCAACCAATAGTAAAGCGTTTGAAGACAACCACCATTCATGGCCAAGATCATCAGGAGAGATAGTCGTATGGTTCATGGAGAAGTACATAAGGGCAACACATAAAGAATAGCGTTTAATTTGTGGGTGGTGACTAGCAGTGGAATCCAGGATGCGCATTTCGTCCAGACATCGTCGAAGCATCTGCACAAAAAGCCGACATGTCTACCTGAGACCGAGCACTTCGGTCCAATCAATCGACGCGAAAATCTAAAATTCAATTCAAATAAAGAATAGTGAGCAAGGATTGTTAACACACGCGTTACTTTGACACGTGCCAATGAGAAAAAGCCTTGTTTTCGGGATGTGAAAGCTGTTTATTTAGAAGGAAAGTGCAGATACGTTAAAGAGGATATTTTTTCCTGACATGAGTGGAAAATAGGTCCCATTTACGATGAGGGGTATCAGGTCTAAAACTAAATCAGTTTCTACATATACAATTATCTAGGTAACTGAAAGTGTCATTTTTCGTGAGCTGTTTGTCGCTGAAATCCTGTTCTTCAACCTCCCCCAAAAGCTTTCAATGGAATTAATATGCGTCCCAGTCATGGGGTTGGCAAAGTTATCTGAATGATTGACACGACGATAAGTGAATCCTAACTGCGATAATCGATTATAACCTGATCATCTGTCTGCATGAATTATGCTACCCGTAACTACTAACCGTTGTGTAACAGGTAGGAGAGTCTTCGCACTACTATTTGCAACTACCTCCACAATTCCTTTGCCCAATGCTAGTGTTATAAAGTCTCAATATCCATACATTTTTCGTCCTAAGGCCACCACGGTTGTACTTCTTCTTTGTCAAAACAGTTTCATCTATGTGAACAATAACCCCCCTCTTCCTAAAAGCTGCGTGGTGGTATTGATCTTCCACGACACTATATCCCTAGTACCAACAAATCTCCGGTTTATGCATCCGTGAATATCACCTCAGTCTTTATTATCCAATGTTAATCAGCGACAGCTTCGATTTCGAAGAGAAAGTTCCTAGAAATTATTGAATAAATTGTGTGACTTACCAGTTCGAGCACTAGTTATTTTTTTACTGTTTGTACATCTAAATAGGTGTCCATCGGTTGCATTTGAAAAACGATAAATGTACATACAACTTCCAAAAAAGCATTTGCAACTACGTGTTATTAATCCATTATCTGAATAGTACTTAAAAACAAGATGTGGGTGAGATTTACCCCTCTAATCGCGCTGTAATAATGTTAAATTCTGTTATCCAAAGAAAGTTAAGCGTTCAAGGTCATTGGTGCGTTCGCACTCTATGGTCGCTATTCTATAGATTGACCACCAAAAGATCACTTCATACTGAAATAAGAGCCAGAGTTGTTCTCTAGAAGGACAATGATGAAAGCTTCACAATTAAACCTACCCAGCTTTAGGAAAATGAAACATCCACCTAAGCTACAAATCTTCTCTGTTGTTTCAAATTAACCATATGGTATTCTGCAAGCAGAAATGGAGTTGGATTGGCCATACTCTGAGAAAACAAACCATCAAGTGAGTGACATTACACGCCAGGCCATTGCTCGAATGGAATCCGAACCGGAAGCAGCGAGTTGGTAGTCAGTGCGAGGGTGACATGGAGGAAGTCATGCGAACAGGAGACGAAAGTTTGTGGGCAGACGTGGGGCCAGGTGAAAACGTCAGAGAACCGAACTCAGTGGAGACGTGCGTCTGAAGCCCTATGTTCCTCTAGGAACTAAAGGAAACAATAATAATAGTAATATTGTATTCAAAGACAAATTACTCAATTAATTACAAACTGCATTATCTTACTAATGTCTAATCGGTGACTTTTGCATTTTTTTCTAGGATCATATTCGTCTAGATGTTTTTCATCGTCCTACTAGCTATTGGGAACATGTTCATCAATTTCGATCATGGCTACTTTCGCAACCATACACATTTCAATCTGACAGTCAAACAGTTCTCTGTGATAAAGTGTGTTTATATCCGATTGAATCTGAGGTAAGCTCTTAAATATGTGTGTGTATCTACGCTTTGATTGAACACTAGTCAGTAACTAGTGCAATGTGTCCAGTCCTTTCTTTGGTGCAGACTGAATTTTATCAGTCAAGTTTGTAATGTGGCCACCATTCTAGGTAGTTCGCCATCACAATGCACTTTGGATTGTTGATATAAGATGGTGGGAGGGAATCGACAGGAAGCCTTCAACCTAGGTCTCATGCTTTTTGGCACTCACCAGTCAGTCAGCAAGGCGTATCTGCAACCTTGAAGAAGCTCATGCTTTGAAGTTCAAGTAATGATGTTGTTTGAACAAACAAAGAAGAAACATTGGCACAGAATAATCTGGATCCATTTTATTTCGTTGGTTCTCATCAGCTGCGTACAACCTTTGTCAATTAGCAAACATATTGCCAGAGCGTCATAGTAAAATAAGGCGTTGCGATTTACAGGGTGTCTAAAGTGTTACGACATATATATATCTTGTTAGAGAGAAGTTTCTTGAAAAAATTAATTAACAGTTGTGTTGTTGGGGTGGTAACAAAAGACAATTAGTAATAGTTACGTAATTAGATAAGAGAAGATCAAAATTTTAAAATTTCAGTGCAAATGAGGTCAAATGAGAAGGTGATAATGTAATACAGTGAGCAGAACTCAGGTCAAGGAAAATTATCTCTTAAGAGAGTCAAGCGAAAAATAAAAGGGGGGAGTGAAAACATAAGTTAACAAAATTAGAAAACAAAGAGTTACTAAGAAGTGAGTCACTTCAATTAACCTGGTGGACTCACTTCTCAGTAACTCTTTGTTTTCTAATTTTGTTAACTCATCTTGCCTCCAACCATCTAATATCATTAAATTAATATGCACTGTGATGGCGTGCTACCTAGAATGGTGGCCACATTACAAACCTGACTGGTAGAATTCAATATGCACCAAAAGAGAGGACTAGAGACATCACACTAGTTACTAGTGTCAAATCAAAATGACAACACTCGTCTTAATCCTCATCGTATTATATATTTTATTGATAACACTAATATTCATTACGAATGTACTTTATCTTCCTTTCTGTTTGACGCATGTCTTTTATTGATTTTATTCATATGTGTAATCACTTTCCTCTCATGTATATAAATGAAACGAGAAAGTTATGTGAGTACGGTGATATGATTATGAGTAGTAGTGTTTAAATTGTGCTGGTAACTTGGTCGTCAGTAAATATTACTGTATAACAACACTGTTTGACTTTATCAAAATAAAATTTTGTTCCCATAATGCAATTGCCATACAAATATCTCCTCATTAATTTGTTCGTTTTCAGCTCACATCATTCCTATCATACACCTCATTTTATTGGATCTTTAAAAATACCACTTAATATTGTGTGTGTGGAACTGTGTGGCTCACTAGTCTAAGCGTTTGACTTTCAACTATAGCGTCATGAATTCGAAATGCGCTGAACCCACCAAAGTTTGGTTAAGTGTCAGGTAGTGTCGTTGGCCCCCCGTACACAGTAGGTGTGGGCTCATTTTCGTCAACTGCATGAGAATTTGCAAATGGTTATTGAGTAACTCGTCACCGTCGTAACATGATTATGTGTTTTAAACAACATTGTGATATTTCCTACATTTTCTGTACTGCTTTCAATTCCCCCCCTCGATTACGTCATTTTCTTAATTAATAAACGCTCAAACATACGCTATACATGTTGTGAATGTCTCAGGAAAAGCTCAGCACTGAGTTTTGTTGAAATATTATGGAGTCATTTAATTATAATAATCCCAGTGTGTGTGTGTGTGTTCACGAAGTAGAAACCAGGCTTTTTTCTGAATGTTTCGTTGTGGAAGTCACCTATTTTGCAGTAGAGTTTCTAATTCTTACAGTGGTTTTCTCTCCGTCCAATTGTTTACTTCCTCGTTGACTGCACTGCTTGCTACTTGTACATTTGTCGAGAGAGTCTATTAAAACACTTTTGTTATCATTTGGATTTTGAGTTCTGTAAGAATTTCTATCAAATTCAGACAAAGGAGAACTAGTCAGCTGTCTGGTGTTATTTTGGAACTTTTCAGAATTGTGCACTTATAACCCCGAAGAACTTAAGCTCAGTCTATTGACTATTCGGTCACGCTAACGTGGAATTCACTGACTCGTGTATTCTAACTTCTATCAATTGGCGCTATATAATGCATCTCCTATAGGTAGCCGGTGAAGTCAGTGATATCAGTAGGGTGAAGCGAATCTTCACCAATGACATTAATTGATATTAGCTCTATGTCGCAAATTGATAGGAGTTGTTAGACTTTGTGGGTCATTGAATTCCAACCCAGTGGTTGAATCATCGACGGGTTGACCTCGTAACCTGACTGGTTTCAACGTAGAACTTTGCACCGATGTACAGCAGTTCGAGTCGCCATACACACACAAAGCAAGAGAAGAAAGTAAAAAGAGATTCAAAACAGAGATATGAAGCAAAAAATAGTATATCGAAGAACAATATAGTTTTATTGGATATTATAAGTCACAAGGAGTGGATGTATCTGCGCTATCCATTGAGAACGAGGAATTTGAGCCATATCACCAATTATCTCCAACCGTCACGGGAGATAGAACGCAGACACGTATGATCAAAGACAGCTAACCTTTTCATGTCTTCCACTTTCAATGGCCATGCCTCACAGCTAGCCATGAAGGAGGACAGAGTGAACTGCTGAGCAGTACACACGCCCTTTGGTAGACAGTCAACTGGATATCACGTGTACTAAGCCAGAGATGACGTAAGTTGTCATATGCGAAACAAGCCTTCTTTATCCGTGCTGAGATTTCGTCAACCCCTGTTTCTAAGCTAGGAGTGAGTCAGTGTAGTCCAGTCCTGTAGCATCATCTTACATTTGACAGGAGCGGAGGAATCTCATGCCAAATATTCGCAGATTGCTGCTGCACAAGGTGTTCAGAAGATCCTGACTGGATTTTGTCAGCGTCTTCGCCTAGAAGGAATATATCATCTGCATATTCTATGTCAACGAGATTATTCCATGGTGGTAACAAGTCAATCCCTGAGTCGCTAAAGTCAGCAGTTAGGATCAATTCCATTAGTACATCTGTGATGAAATTGAATAGAAATGGGGACAGTGGGCATTCCTCGCCGACGTGCACTACCGGTTGTCACCACTTCAGATGACAACGTCGTAACCTGAAGGTCTTAAGTTCCGATCGCTGGTGTGGGGTCATTGATACACACTACTGAGGGTTGGCAGACTAGACCATAACGGTTATCCTGCACGCCTTGATTTTCACTGATTCTCTAACTGACGTTAGTTCGTGACGAAATCTTTCTTCATTGGGATATTTATCAATGTTTTTTTGTTAGTCATCCAGTGTAATATGATATTACGGTGATTATGTATAACACATGCTGCTGTCGCCTTTCTTGACTACCAGTACTAGGTGACACAGGCTTAGGTTGGAATAGAGTTATAGGGTGATCACACCAAAATATGGAATCAATTCATGAAGTGTTAAATAGTTGATTTTATCCAGGTAGGTAGGTGTAGACTGTCTAGTTGGAGTTCTTGGGTTGCTAAGATCCAATAGCTAAAGATTATTAGTGATATTGTACCAACAGAAGGCAAGACACGGAAGCCAAGTTATCAAACCGCTATATGTTTACAGTTCATATTCTCAAACCAATCACTGAGCATGTGACCTTGGCTTATATTAAACGAGATGAAATAGAATGTTAAAATACATAGTAATCTGTTGCTAATGCAGTATTGAACCGCAAAAATATGTAAGAATAATATTCCGTTAGAACACATTGTCTCTATCACACCACCACAATATGACTCACAATCCTCGTTCTGATTGACGCAGATATATGCACTCTTTGTAATCACCTAAATTCATTAAACCCTAATGTTTTTCCGTGGTACTATTCTTTCTCCCTCACATTTCTGCTCATCTGTAGTTCTTCTGAATGATTCTTCTCTTTTCCCTACCTTCGCGTGCTATCTGAGAGTTTGTCAACACTTGACCTGTTGTACTTCTGTGCAATATTCTATGTTGAAATTCAATGAAGGATGTTTATTCCAGGAGATATTTTACTGCTCTAAGATGTTTCAGACTCCGTTTAATTATTTTTTTTCACCCCACGAGTCGGTTGACCTGTTTCTTAATTTCCATTGATCTTTTAAAAGGAATGATCTCTATTGACATTTGAAAAGATATTCAACCAATAATTGCAGCGAATTCATATTCGGTGCGCGGATTGATGATAATTCTTGACTGTCCAAACAGTTCATTGCAGTCATATAGCCGAAGTTATTGACCCTTTTGAGTAATCGTCTAGAATATTATAAATAATGTGTACTACACAATATTCTCATCTGTTGTAAGAGTTATTACATCCTTTAACATTACGTCGTGTTAGTTGTTGAAGCAAAACAATCTGATAAATATAGCGAAAATATTCATTCAGACATCTATAAAAAACAAAATAATTGAGCAAAGAATATCCTTTTCGATAATTTCCTCCTCCTCTGGCTCTACAATTATATATACGCATGTTTATATACATAGAATATTCTAGAATAGTAGTCAATAACAATATTAGTGTTTTTTAAATAATATCGATTTGTAAAGTAAGATCAATGGAATTACAGTTCATTAAAGATGCTTAAATTATAATAATAAAGATATAGTATCAAATAGAATGTCAACTAAAATTAGGAAAATTCCACAAAAATTGAAAATCATTCGAACCTAGATGGCCAAGGTAAGGACAATGTCTGAACTAGCCTTTTTTGGACACATAAATTAGGCTTCTTAATGTGGATCCCAACAGTATTTAGTAAACGAACTCTTAAGGTGAAATTGAGATTTTTTGGTATGCGGTAAATGACTTTGAAAGCCTCGTTGACATCAATCTTGTGTTCTGTTTGTATCCACAAGATGAGATAGAATAGCGCTACCAATAGATTTTGTTTGTCCTTTACTTAACCACTATGCATGGTGATGTTCGGAAATCCGACGATGAACTGTAATCCCATTGATCTTACTTAACAAATCGATATTATTTAAAAAAACACTAATATTGTTATTGACTACTATTCTAGAATATTCTATGTATATAAACATACTATATATAATTGTAGAGCCAGAAGAGGAAATTATCGAAAAGGATATTCTTTGCTCAATTATTTTGTGTTTTATAAATCTGATAAATGTCATTCAGATTAACGAACCTTACTACCATCGATCAATCTTGAACAGATCAGTTTCTCAGCACATCTTGATAAAGTATTTTCCTGTTTTGTTTTTCTCAATTTTGTTCTTGCAACTAACTTTTCTGTTTTGGTTTTAAAACCTTTATTTTCTTTCTTATAGAATGAGTTTTACTGGATCGATAATGATTATTTTGAAGCCCGTCCTATAGAAGTCAGTGTACGTCGCGATGCCATCAATCTTTATATGTAAATTTAACTATTTTTCTATTAAATAAATCTAGTTTACATTCATCTACTCTTTTCACATTGAGTGTGTCGAGCGCCATCCAAATAAGTCTCATCCGTACAACCTCAATTTATACATTCCTAGTCACTCATACACTCTGTAAACTTCTATACTCCAAGTGGGAAGAAATTACATTTAGAAACTTCTCTGCAAATCAACGCGCATAAAAAGTAATTAATCTGATGCTCGTTAGTGACTGACTGTAGGCAGATGTAATGAGAAGTCATTACCACTGAGGTCCACCTAAAGAAGTTGAAACGGTACACATTCTCTGACGGTATTGGTTAGAGGTGGGAGTATATATATATCGGGGATGAGCAAAGTTTAGAATACATGGACAACTGGATTCTGCCAATGGGTGCCTGAAATCCTATACAGTGGCTAAGCGGTCAGTGGGCTTGACTCATAATCGGAAGACTTTGGAGTGGATTCCCAGTGGAGTTGTATTAGTTTACTGCTGAACTACGGTCTAGTATTCCTTGGTTTCCTAACTGGTGTCAGTTTGTCATATAACCTGAAACGTCTACTTCGTGATGTCCATTTAAAACGGCCTACAAATGTTAACGAAACGATCGATATTCAATGAGTCCTTATACATTTCATGGCACGTAGAGCCTATTTTGACGAATTCACTAAGTGACCCACATATAAATCATAACAAGTCAACAATAAGAGAACAAGAATCGGAATTTCCTACAGGTTATGTTGAGATAGCCGCGTCCGAAGTCGAAACAGTGACACGCGTCTGAATGAAACGAAGTAATCGCCTTTTCAAGATAATTATTAAAACAGAGGTTCCTACCTATGTCATGTATTCCCATAACAAGTCTTTCATAGTTATAGTGTAGTCCGTTAGAGCCTTAATTTACAATCGCATTCATTTTCCTGCTCGTCCCTCTCTCTCTTTCCTTATGTGTTTTAACCTGATTTGCACGACATTTCCACCCTTTGTTTTGCTGTAGTCAATTCATTCTGACTTGTTGATTAGCCCCATATTTCCTCATATATTGCTTACAGTATATATGACTCAGTAAACAGAGTATTCATCAGACGAGTTCTGTAACAACAGAAGGCAAGAGTCAGGCAACAGATCATTTATTAAGGAAATCAACGCATTTTTATATATTTTCATGTACATTACTATGAATATTTAAGCAAACAAACACAGTCTTCCGATTGGTTGTTTCTCACGTAAAGTTAATCTTTCATCTATTTGTGACTGTTTCTTGAATGTCAAATCATCTATATGTTAACTGCATCTGCCTACGCAAAGTCTGCTGTGGCCGGTTTTGAATCAATCTTTGTTCACATTTTCTCACGACAAATCTTGGGAACGTAAATATTGACGTAAATTACTGTCTACCAATTTGGCAAGTAGACAGCTCTCACCACACTCGTCCCCCCGTCAAATAGCTTCGCGCGCAGGCGTTCCGACCTTCTGGGTGATGCGTCCTCTCGTTGATGATTGTTACAGACCGGCTTGTCCCAATGTACCCATCGTTGGATCTGACTGGCGTTAACTCGTTTTTGTTTGTCACCTCTTCTGATGGTATATACTTGACCCCGTCTTTTTGTGACTGTGTATGGTCCTTCCCACTTTGGAAGGAGTTTGCGTGAACCTGGCCCGCATCCGACAGCATATCTTCTGTCTCTACACTTCACTTGGTCCCCGACTGAGAAGGTAACGCACCGAGTCTTTTCTCTCAGGTGAGACTTCGCGACATCCCTCCGCTGCTTCTGCATTACATTCTTGACGGCTTCTTTCCGTTCTGCTTTTAATTTCGTCGTACTCCACTTTTGGTGAAGGGGCCGGGTTTCGTTGTGTACCGGTAATCGTGGTTTTCTACCATACATCAGTTGAAAGGGTGACTTTTTCGTTGTTTCCTGGGTGGTGGCACGATATGTTAGTAGAATCAGTGGCAGCTCCGTTTCCCAGTTACCGCCCTTCGAGGCCAGCCACTCCTTCAGCGTACGGCTGTTTCTCTCCGTCAGGCCATTCGTTTGTGGATGGTATGGGGTCGTTCGGATCCTCTTGATGCCAAGCTGTTGCAAACGGGAAGTAAATTCTTCACTTTCGAAACACGGACCTTGGTCTGTCAGTATTGTCTTTGGTACGCCATGGTCTGCAACGATGTGTCTAACTACTGCATCTGTCACGGTCCTTGCGCGTTGGTCTGAGATTGCTACGGCGTCTACCCATCGTGTTGCGTGTCCCGTCGTCACCAAGAGGTACTGATTACCACTGAATGTCTGAGGAAATGGACCCATAACATCTACGGACCACAAGTCACCTATCGCCGTAACTGGAATCGACTGAAGTGGTGGTCGTATGCACCGGTCGCCTTTCATTAGCTGGCACCGTGGACATCCAAGTACATTTCTTGCTACGTCTTCTCTCATACCTGGCCAGTACATACTTTGTCTCAAGAGGTCGGTTGTTCTGGCCACTCCGGTATGTGCTAGCTGGTGGCATTCTTCTATCATGTCGTGGCGCGACGATTGAGGTATGACAGCTAGCCAGCTTCCGTCGTCCTCTCGCCTGGTCAGAGTTCCGTAGACATTCACTCTTAGTCGATCTCTCTGTCTGAGTAGCGTGGTTAGCTCCTTACTCGATGTAGCTTGATCTACTTCTATCCCGTTGGTTATCACCTGTATTACTGTATTCAGCGTATCGTCCAACCTTTGTCTGCGTGCCAGTCTTAGTGGGTCTTGTTCCACTGCATACACTCCGTACGCGACCTCGGGCAACTCAGACTCGTCTTCTGGTCTCGATAACAAATCTGCCAAGACATTTTCATTTCCAGGAACGTGTGAGATCGTAAAATCGTACTCCTGAAGACGCAACATCCACCGTGACAATTTCCCCCGTGGGTCTCTCGCTGTCTTCAAAAATTGTAGCGGCTTATTATCCGTTTCGATGTGGAACCGCCGGCCGAGTAAATAAGGTCTCCATTTGTCGATTGCCCATACCATCGCTAAACATCCTTTCTCTATCGTTGAATACTTTCGCTCTGTGTGTGTCAAAACTCGACTGGCATACTCAACGATTCCCTCACCCTGTCTTAGGACCGCACCTATGGCGTAGTCACTGGCATCTGTGCACACTGTGAACTGTCTTCCAGGTACAGGTAGCTTTAGTGTCATTTGTTGGTGGTCGAGCAGCTGTTTAATCCTGTTGAATGTCTTCTGCGATTCCTCCGACCAAACGAACTTCGGTTCACCTAGTAGCCTGTACAGAGGGGCTGCTATCTCATTGAAGTTCTTCACGAAGCGACTATAAAACGCTGCTCTACCTAAGAATTGTCTCAATTTTCTCTTTGAATTCGGGGCTGGGATCGTCTTTATCGTCAAGATTTTCTCCGGTAGTGGTTTAATCTCACCATTTCCCACTTTACGTCCCAAAAGAATTACATTCTTTTTGGCTATCTGAGACTTGGTTTTGTTGATGCGCAGTCCAAACTCTTCAATGCGTCGCAGCACGGCTTCCACATGGTTTACATGATCGTTTTCGTTTCGACTATATATGACGAGATCATCACCGTACACCTCAACGTTTTTCAAGTTCTTAAGTAATAGCGTCATCAGTCGTCTGAACGTGAACGGTGCACCTGCTAGTCCAAACGGCATGCGTTTAAATCGATATTGTGTCTGACCCACGATGAATGCCGTCTTATCTCTATCACCTGGCTTTATCGGTATCTGCCAGTATACTGAGCGAAGATCGAGAACAGAAAACAAATTTGCGCCTTGTAGGCGATCTAAAGTTTCTACTACTGTTGGCATGGCACACGGTCTTAACTCTGTCATATTGTTTAACTGTCGAAAATCAACGCAGAATCTATACTTCCCATTCGCCTTTTTTACTAACAACACTGGAGAGTTGTACGGGCTATCAGCTTCTTCAGTAATATCATCTTTTAACATCTCTCGCACCTGTCGCTCAACTTCGCCTTCTAAATGACATGGAACTCTTCGCGTGGTAAATGACGTTACTTTTGGGCCACTTAATGGAATTTCATGATTCACCTTATCGCAATAATCGTATGGGTCCCCATCTCCAGTAAACAGATGATCGTATTTGCCGAGTAACTTTGCTATACTTCGGACTTCCGATGCCGCAATCCCTGCTACCTCACTATTCTCGTGCATGCCAAAACACCCGTACTTCGTAACGACAACCCTTTTCTTCATGTTAATCACTGCATCCACTTCTCGCAAAAAGTCGGCCCCAAGGATTGTTCGGCGCAATTCAGGTACAACCAGGAATAGGAACGTCACGCAATCCTCTCCAATTCTAACCCTGCAGTCTGAAACTCCCGCGATTCTTAACACGTGACCGCCTACTGTCTGCACTGTCAACGAACACGGTCTTATACTCTCACATATACTCCTATCTACGAGTGAGAATGCAGCCCCTGTGTCGATTAAACACACCAACTCGCGATCATTTACCCGTAACTTCGAATATATTGCCCCCTTCTCCATCGCCCCTATTACCTCAAGTCTCGGAACACAGGAAGAAGACACAGTATATCTTTTAAAAATTCTTCTTTGTCGTCTTTCCGGGCAGCGGTCTCTCCAGTGCCCCAGTTTGCCACATGCGGAACACCGGTCTCTCCGCACGCTCAGTCTCAGCGCGGCCACTTCACGTTGCAACTCTTCGATTTGTTTCTCACACTGCTCGGATTTTGGTGGCTCTACCGCTGCAACCGTCTTACTCAACAGTTGTCTGGTCACCTTCGCAAGCTCCCCGATGTCCAGTGGCTGTGCGGCGTTAACCAGATGTAGCTGTTGGGATATATGTTCTGGGACACCGTCCATAAACTGGGATGCCAACATTTGTGCCTCAGAATCTTCGTCCAGTGTTGGTAGAGCGCGACGAAGTAAGCTTGTCAAGTTCAGCGCCAATACGAGAGGGTCACCGTCAACTCCCAGCTTCATGGTGCGACACTTCTGCATTGCCCGCTCTCTGTCCATCGGGCTATCAAGCTCCTGCTTCAAGCGT